GTTGGGTCCTACAGTCTTTTAATGACTTTTAAATAGTGTTAGCTTGTTTCTAATAAAGTTTTGTATTTAGTATTTACGCCTCTACCCTTCTTTTCTGAAACCACGTACCTGTGTGATCTTTTGTTGGTGATTTAATCTATAATTACCATGATTTCCCTGTTTAACAGGGTGGCGTAGTCAGCTACATCTTAACTAGTTTCTTCTGAACTAGCCCCTCCCCTCGCCACATTTTGAATCACTCATTGCGCATACATGGCTACTTGTAGTTTGAATAGTGCTGATTACATCAAGGAGCAAGCCCTAATAGCCTAATTTAATCACTGTTCATACAAGGAAAAAAAGGGGTAATGGGTGATTCACCTGTTCCCCCTAGTTGAGATAGAACCACCCTATTTTGAATGTGATGCCCCTAAATGAAGACAAAAAAATACCAAGGGGCCAACCAAACTTTCAGCAGCTCTAGACAATTTATCATATATGGAGATTGCTTTGTTCTAGGGGTCACTTTGTCCCATAATTTTTTTTTCACAGCAGTGGAAAAAACAGTGAGGCCGATGGTAAGGAGGAGTAGGCAGGCGGTAAAGAAAGCAGGCTAAATCTACTTTGATAGTCTGAAAATATTTCAGGCTAGATGAAGCAATTCTAAGTCAACTGCACAAGAATTCAGTGGGATTTTTTTCTTTGGCTTTTCTTCCTTAGCCATTTACCAGCACAGAATTTAATGGGTGTGTGTCTTTTCTGCCTCAATGCTGGCATCTTTCACTGCTCTTAACAGTCTGAGATGCCTCTGAAGCAAAATGCTGTACAGTTATAACATGTTGCAATTGTGCTGCAAGTTGCACCCATGCTTTCTCACAATTTTGCAAAGGGCAGTAGCATTTACAAACACTGAGAACTTTATGGTGGTTTATAGCTCCAGGTGTAAGCATTTATGGATCAAAACCCTTTTCAGTTTTGATCAAAACTATATAAAGTCAGCAATATAAAGTACACAAACAAACAAACAAACAAACAAACTGAAAACTGTACTTTTAATCAATGTTGAATTGAACACATTTAACCTTTACAGTGCAGACTGGAAAAAGTACGAACCCAGAATATTCTTCAGTGAGCAATAACCTACACCAAACATTTCCTGGAAAAATCCTGTGTTAACAGCTCTCTTCAGGTTCTGTCACAACATCTCAGCTGGCATGAGGTTTGGACTTTATCTTTAGTTTAAGACGTACTCCTTTGTTTCAGGCCATTATGCTTTAGCATTACCCAAATTTTATTAGGTAGATTAAAATTTTAAAAAACCATACAACAAAAAAAAAATACATACAATCGCTCAAACCTCTACATCATGAAGTAACTAAGCATTTTCTGTTCCATCTGTTTGCTGTTGTACAGCCCGAGCAGAGAAGGCGTACAGGAAGGGGTTCACACAACTGTTAATGAAAGTCAGAGCTGCAGTAATATTGTCTCCTGATTCTGCAGATTTTAACAGATTGTAATTCCCAAGCAACGCAGCAGCGATGATCACAATGTTGGAGATTTGTAACGGGATCCAAAAAACAAAGAAACATGCCACGATTCTGGTCACCAGCTTTGTCAATGACTGACTGCTAAAGAAAGCTGAGTTATTAACTCCTCGGTAAAGATGAAAGTAGAAGTAAGTCAGTGTGGGGAACAAAACTACAAAAACTGTAATCTCCCAGATTAAAGTAGCCACTCTTTCAACATTATTACGATAACATCGCTTGCATTGAAGGTGTCCTTCCCTGTCCAAGCTTGGAGTGCGCTGTACGAGAGCATAGGACGATAACACTCCACTTAGAATCCAAATCCCACTCACAAGGATCTTCTTTCCTTTTCTGCCAAGCTTGTTCCATTTCTGAGGATGCAGCACTTGTATGTATCGCTGCACACTCATCAAAATCACACACAGCATGCTACAGTACAGGCTTAAGTACACCAAATAGGAGAGAAGCTTACACAGGGCCAAGCCAAAGACCCAGCCATGCAGAAGAGCCCAAATCCAAACCGGCAGAAAAAGCAGAGTGAGCAGATCTGATACGGCCAGGCTTAGCATCAGTCTCGGGGTGAAACTGCCTCCCTTCAGCCATCCAGCAAGACGTACCATTACTGCTATGTTAGCAGGGACTCCCAGTATGAAGCAAACTGACAGCACACTACTGGCAATCAGATTTTCAGTTGAGACAGGAGTGGTGAGCGAGCTGTTTGATGAGTTGAGCTGCTGCATGGTTAGATGCTGCTGTTTCTATGTGGTGGCCAAAGTGTTGGTGTCTGTGGTTTTCAGTGTAGATAAAAACAGCATTCAATGCGTCACAGATACACTTCAGGGTTATGGTGAAAACTAGTCCAGTGTGTACATTCCCCTCTGAAAGTATTGGAACAGCAAGGCTAATTCTTTTGTTTTTGCTATACATTGAATACATCAAGATCAAAAGATGAATGTAAGATGAAAGATTACAATTTCAGCTTTTAATACCTGATATTTACTGATATTTAATTTATGGTTTTTAGGTTTTTCTTCACAGCTCTCACAATGCTTCTTTCATCAACTGCTGTTGTTTTCCTTGGCCAAACTACACCAGTTGTTTCTTTCTTTTTCAGACATTCCAATTTGTTGTATTGCCTATATAAATATCAGAAAATGAAAGCTGAAATTCTGATTTATCATCTCATATTCATCTTTTGATCTCAAACCCAATTGTGATCAGTATATAGAAAAAAAAATAATAATAGGCCTTGCTGTTCCAATATTTTTGGCGGGGACTGTAAATAAATGTATTAATTGCATCACAAAATTACCATCATGATTTAACCATTTAAGCTTTATAAATATATCAATGTTAACATGCAAAATCTACATAATGGTTTAAATGATGGAAGCTTAAATGGCAATAAAATTCCAGAGTTCCTCATGAGTTCAGAGAGATGAGGGTCCTCCTTAAGGCAGGCAGGCAGGAAAGAAGAAAAGAAAAGAAAAGAAAGGAAAAGAAAAAATACCTAGAAATATGTATGAATTAAAATCAGCTAGCTAGCTAACAAACCTAGTAAGCTACTTAAACCCCAAAACATTTGGCTAAGTTAGCTAGCCAACTAAGTTTACCTTTGTACCTTACTGTACACTTCTGATATTCAAGGTGGTGTTCACTTCAGTGTAGCTCACTTGATTGTTTAACAGAAATAGAACATTTTCTGATTAGTTGTGTTAATTGTATACATGTAAAAACATAATTTGAGATGTAATTACTCAAGTTGTTTTTCACCAGATGACATTATACGGCCAAAAGTATGTGGACGCCTGACCATCACACCCACATGTGGGCCTTTCCTAAACTGTTGCCACAAAGTTGGAAGCACACAATTGTATAGGATGACTTTGTATGCTGTAGCATTACAGTTTCCCTTCATTTGAATTAAAAGACCCAAACCTGTTCCTGCATGACAATGCCCCTGTGCACAACATGAGGTCCAGGAAAACATGGTTTCCCAAGGCTGGTTTAGAAGAACTTGAGTGACCTGCACAGAGCCTTAACCTCAACCCCACTGAACACCTTTGTGTTGGATGAACTGGAATGCTGACTGCACTCCAGGCCTACTCGCCCAACATCAGGGCCTGACCTCATTAACGTGGCTCTTATGGCTGAATGGCCAAAAAGTTATTATAACAGCAAAGGGGGACTAAATCTGGAGTGGGATGTTCAACAAGCACATATGGGTGTGATGGTCAGGTGTCCACATACTCTTGGCTATATAATGCATTTAATCATACTTGAGTAATTTTCCTGATAACTACTTTCACATTTACTCAGTGAATTATTACTATAGTAACAGTACTTTTACTCAAGTCACTGTGTTTTGTACTCTATCCAACACTCTAATACATAGCTGTCACATGCTTCCCAAATCAGGTAACACACAGCAGCCTAAAAACATGGCTGCCAACTACAGCACCCAACAACCATCATGAGCTCTCTCACGTTCATGGTCACCCTCATTCTGATTGCACACACCCGGACTCAAGTACATGCACACAATAATTACAGACTCTCTTCACACGAACTGCATTGCAAAGTATATGCTCAGTGGCACACACCTGTCTACACCAAGCCTTACGTTCTCTCGTTATTGTGTTTACTACGCTTCTGTCCTTCTGTTTGTTACGTATATGTCCTTGTCTCTTGCCCAAGTAACTCTGTTTACATATTGCCTGACTTCTGCCTGTTTCTTGACTCTGATTCTGCTCTACATTTTGGATTTGTTTGCCTGTGTTAAAATAAAGAATCTTAACTTGCAACTGTCACCATCTTTGCTGCCTGACAGGTATCAGTTTTGACATTATAACCATTTAAGCTTTATAATGCATCAATGCTATGTTAATTGCAAAATCTACGTGATGATTTACAGGATTGAAGCTGAAATGACAGTGAGTATGGGAGCATGGTGGATCAGTGGCTAGCATTGTTGCCTTGTACCCCCAGGGTTGGGGGTTCAAATCCCACCTCTGCCATGTGCTCAGCGTTTGCATGTTCTCCTTGCGCTTTGGGAGTTTTCTCTGGGTACTCTGATTTCCTCCAAAGACATGCATTGTAGGCTGATTGGCATTCCCAAATTGTCTGTAGTTTGTGTGTGCAACTCTGCCCTGTGATGGGCTGGCTGCCTGTCCAGGGTGTTCCCTGGGATTTTCAAAATAATTAATCAGAAGGTTGGGGGTTCTTAACCCTCTCTGATCCATGTGTGCTATATCATGTCTGACCCCAACTGTGACCAATAAAGGCTTTTTTTTTCTAAACCCCTTCATTTTTTTTTGTCCTTTCACTGTTTTTTAGTGTTATTTTGTTCATTTTGGATTTAATTGTATAAATGTAATTACTTTGGTATTTTGTTGTTTTTTTTTTCGGCAGATTTGCTTTATTCTTCCTAAGTTTATGTGTTTGTTTCAGTCGGGTGTTCCAGCTGTTTGACATTTCAGCTGAGCAGTACGGTTTGTGAAGTTCTAGATTGTGGGAGTGCTGTGGTTTTGCCCTCGGGGAGGCTGGTTACAGGGTACCTTGGCCTCTTTCTTCTTCATTGGTTTCTGTGATAGTCATATTTGAGTATTGGGTTATTTATTCTTTGTAGCGTGGGGCACTAACGTGTGGTTATAGTGAGTGGTCCTTTTTTTCTGGGGTTGTTTGGAAGTGGGACCTGCCTTTCCAGTGCTCTTGCCTACCTGGAGGTTAGCCCCAGCTCTCTTCTATCTTTTTAAAATTATTTAATTTTCTTTCATTGTTTGTAGGAAATTAAAAGGAATTGTAAGGTATTGGGTGTTTTTGTTAATGACTCTTGATATTTCATGTTGATTTTGTATATTAAAATATATTTTTATTTTGCTTAATTATTTGTAGGTAATTAAAAGGTATTGTAATGTATTGGGTGTTTTCATCAGTGATCCCTGATATTTTATGTCGATTTGGTGTAATAAAATATATTTTTAATGTGCAAAACTGTTTCAGTCCTCACTGCATATAAAGAACCTGTCTAAGTCCTTGGGTGAGAGTCACAAGGTTACATTTAACATTTTGTTAATTTTCATTCTTAAGCCCTTTCCTTCCACCACACTAACGTTACAGCTAGAAATAAGCAAGAATTAACTAGCTAAATGACCTAGTAAGCTACTCAAACCCACATACAGGAAATGATGGTTTAATGTTTATTACCAAAGGGTAATAAGAGAAAGAGAATGTGGTTAGCATGAGAACTGGCACATAAGATGTGACATCATGTTTTCATCTACAAAGCTTAAAGTTTATTTGAAAACTGACTGAAAAAGTGAGCAGAAGTCCAAAAGTACTAAAAGTCACAGTGACAAAAAGTAGTTAAAAAGGGAGGCCAAAAGAACACCTTAAAATACTCTATTAAACGTTGCAAAATGACAATAACAATACACTGCAATAATAAGCAAAATTACATGCAATTCCTTTTAAAAATCAAGTCACTTGCTGTCACCAAGAATCCATAAAATCTCTCAAACCTCTACATCATGAAGTAACTAAGCATTTTCTGTTCCATCTGTGTGCTGTCGTAGAGCCCGAGCAGAGAAGGCGTACAGAAAGGGGTTCACACAACTGTTAACGAAAGTCAGAGCTGCAGCAATATTGTCTCCTGATTCTGCAGATCTTAAGAGACTGTCATTCCCAAGCAGCACAGCAGTGACAACCATAACATTGGAGATTTGTAACGGGATCCAAAAAATAAAGAAACACGCCACAATTCTGGTCACCAGCTTTGTCAATGATTGACTGCTAAAGAAAGCTGAGTTATTAACTCCTCGGTAAAGATGAAAGTAGAAGTAAGTCAGTGTGGGGAACAAAACCACAAAAAGTATAATCTCCCAGATTAAAGTAGCCACTCTTTCAACATCATTACGATAGCGTAGACTGCACTGAAGGTGTCCTTCCCTGTCCAAGCTTGGAGTGCGTTGTACAAGAGCATAAGACGATAATACTCCACTTAGAATCCAAATCCCACTCACAGGGATCTTCTTTCCTTTTCTGCCAAGCTTGTTCCATTTCTGAGGATGTAGCACTTGCATGTATCGCTGCACACTCATCAAAATCACACACAGCATGCTGCAGTACAGGCTTAAGTACACCAAATAGGAGAGAAGCTTACACAGGGCCAAGCCAAAGACCCAGCCATGCAGAAGAGCCCAAATCCACATCGGCAGAGAAAGCAGAGTGAGCAGATCTGATACGGCCAGGCTTAGCATCAGTCTCGGGGTGAAACTGCCTCCCTTCAGCTGTCCAGAGAGATATACCACCACTGCTATGTTACCAGGAACTCCCAGTATGAAGCAAACTGCCAGTACACTACTCCCAATCAGGTATTCAGCTGAGACAGGGGTGGAGAGTGAGCAGTTTGAGGAGTTGAGCTGCTGCATGGTTAGACACATCTGCAGTGTAGCTGGGTGCAAGCTGTGCTAGATAAGCTAAGAAGCAGAAGGGTTGGTATCTGTGGTTACCTACGTAGATAAAATATAGCACTACTGGCATCACAGCTACACTTGTGGAAATAAAATCATTAATAAAATCTAAAGTATTTGGCAGTTCTGGATGCATTCATTTCGACATTATATCCCTTTAAGCTTTAAAAGTGTCAATGTCAATTAACATTAAATTAATTGCAAAATTTCCTGATGATTTAACTATTCGTTCTGCATTAATAGCATGTTTTTGGAGGCCTGGTCTTTGGAGGTCTTTGCAAATGGCTATGCTGCACATGTTGGCTATGTTGGCTCCAAGTGAATGGTAGCCCATTCCATGTAGCGGCCATGCCCCAGCAGAGAGGGAGTGCAGAGCAACAAGAGAAAGGATTTACTCTGCAGCTACTCAGACTTCCATCTGTGCAGAGGTCACGGGACTTCTTGCTTGCAGTTTTTCTCACAAACCACCCAGCCACATAGCTTTATAGGTTTTAAGTAATGTGACTAACATCAAAGAAAGAAAGAAAGAAATGAAGAAACAACTGTTTATGATTTATATTGGCAAACACATGAATTAACATTAACTGCTTTCATACAAAATGAAACAGACATTTAAAATATCAGTAGGTTAGCAGTGAAAGTCACAGTGATGTATACAACATACAGAAAACCATGCTTTAATGTTTAGCACCTAAGAAACAGGATGTGGTTTGGTGTGGGAACAGACACTGGGCATGTATCACATCTTCTACTACAAAAGCTTACGCAACTCCCACACACAAACAAACAAATTGTACTTTTTATCAATCTTGAAATGAAGAAATTTAACATTAACAGTCCAGGTTCATATGTACCCATGTGTTTAGTAACTAGTCAATACTACACTATATGGCCAAAAGTATGTGGCTACGTGACCATCTCACCCATATGTACTGGGTAAACATCCCATTCCAAAACCATGGGCATTAATATGGAGTAGGTTCCTCTTACCTGCCACAACAGGTTCTCCTCACCTCTTA